ATCTCTCAAATGAACCCGGCGGCTATTGAAATGTGGGCATATAATTATCCAAGACATTAAGCGAAAATTGTCATTTTTCTGTCCGCTTCTACCGCCTAGCTCATCCCTTCCGCTCAGTGTGGTTTTGAAAAACCTCCTCCGACCCCACAAGATCATTCCAGTAAACAGACCCATTCGGACAGGCCATTCCGTATTTCAAACAAGCCCATTTCAGCCGTTTGAGAGGAGGAAGTGTGCGTTGCATGTGTTGGCGGTCGTGGCAAATGCCGTCGGTCGTAATGCCCCGCCCTCGGCACCGCACCCAAGCTGGGCGTGGACCCTCTAGCTCAATTCATGGGGCAGGTCTGGACTCCACAGCTCACCAGCTGGCCAACGGTGGACTTGATGCCACCAGCTGGTGGTCAGCGGACTTAAGGTCACCAGCTGGTTATCGGTGGACTTAAGGTCACCAGCTGGTGATCAGTGAGCTACAGGTCACCAGCTGGTGATCAGTGAGCTAAAGGTCACCATGGACTAGGGTTACTGCCGCCTGGCCATCAGTCCATTAGTACAATAGCTCATCCTCCCATCAGCCCATCATCCCATCGGCCCATCGGCCCATCAGCCCATCGTCTCATCATCCCACCATTCCATCATCCCATCAGCACATCATCCCATCAGCCACCATCCCATCAGCTTACCAGCTCCTCAGCTCATCAGCTCATCAGCTCATCAGCTCATCAGCTCATCAGCTCATCATCTCATCAGACCGTCCACGGCCGCACAGGGGCTAGAGACAGTGTATGTTATGATGGGGATTACTTCTTCCACGTCAGTCTAGAGAAAATCCAGGTGTGCGTGTTGCGCCTGATACACGCTGTGCTGTTCACCGCACCCGAACTGCGTTCCGCTTAACTGGCGTTATTTTGAGCTCGTCTGTCTGTGAATGCGACCGTTCTTGCAATGACCATTCTCATGATAAATACATAGATAGTGACAGGAGTGTAAGTCTCGCTGATCCATCTTACTCGTTACACTCAGTTAGGTGTCACCGCTCTTCGAGCTCCCTCCCCAGTCTGCTGGCAGCCGCCGTTGATTGGCGCCACAAGATCGGCCGGTGGCGTCCCTGTCCATCGCGTCATGCTCCTCGCGGTATTTTTAATAGTCGATACAACATTGAGTAAAGCCTGTTATTCAAAGTGTAGCTCCGTGATGCTGTCGTTTACCTTAAACGCAAGAGGATCGGAGCTGTGGGGGCCGCGGAAAAAACCGTCTCACAGCTCTGCAAAGTTGTAGCAAAATACGGGGCTAATAAATGACTGATCTAAATGACAGCTCCAAGGTTCTAGCACCTCTGCTGAAAGACGTTTGCCTTTTCGACATACTCAATACACACCCATTACCCTACATAGACCATACACATATCTGTTTTGCAACCTACACAATTATATATATATATATATATATATGTATGTATATCTATGTAAGGTATATATAGGTATATATATATATATATATATATATATATATATATATATAATGCAGAGATACACTTTTGATCAGTACGTACTGCATACGTCACAATGTAGAGCATAGGCAGCTGTTGTGTTAAGCACCGTATTTCACCGCTGCCACCCACGCGCTCGTGCCGATCTCCCACCCAATTTGATCGGCCCCGTCAGCACCACTATGCAGATGTGTGTGCACAGTGGGCAGTGAGGGACTTCTGCGGTTGTTCGCTGCTAAACAGCTCAGAATCCAACGTGCGGTCCCAAATCTTAACCGATGGCTATCTCACATAGTAAGGAAGACTTGTCGCACTGAACATTACATGTAACCTAAATAGACTAAACTGGTGTGAACGGATCACCGTCACTTATTCATCGGGGCCTCATAACGTCCAGAACGTCGCGTTCGGCCTCTGGCCTCACAACGAGACATGTGTCTGATTTCCAAGATTTCTTCCCGGGAGGCAATTTCTGAGTTCCGATTTCGAAACCAGACAGAGCCTAGAAACCGCCTCAGAACGCGGGAATCCAGCCAGAAATGCGGAGATGTCGGGAGCTGGCAGTGAGTTGTATCGAGGGAGCCAAGAGGCATCGCAGTGCAGCTTGCCGTCAAGCTGAGTGATCGAGCAAGTACCAAGGTTCAGCTAAGAATATGTACGGGGTCCACCATGAGCCAATACGCAGCTCAGAATTACAGTGAGGGATCCAGCAAAAGCCGTGGTCCAGTTTGCACCTGCGCCCAGGATCCAGTAAGGAACGAGATTTAGTATGCGCTCATGAAAACCAGAAATAACCAGTATCTCACCCGGAATTATTGTAAGGAGACAGTGCGATCCGCACGTTTGGTTGATACATACACACATGTTGCACAAGCAAAATTGCAGAATGAACGCAAGATGTCTTTAATTTCAGACGACATGTCGGTTTAGTTATAAATAACAGCCAACTGAAACGCGAGCTATTGGTTGCAAATAAGTCAATTAGAACAAGCAACCAGCAACTAATGCTTTGTTAGGAAACCTACGGGGACCCGGAACCAGTCTGATGTTTGTGGAGAACCGATGAAAACCAGAAGCCAACATCTACGTTGGGGATACCAGCGGGAACCAGTAACCAGTATCTGGTGTTTGCGAAGGAACCAACGAGAGCGAGGAACGGGCGAGGAACGAGAAAAGTTAACAAAAATATCCAGGAACCAGGAGCTTGTATTTCCAAAAGGGCTAGTGGAAACGAGGATCCGCGGCCTCGTTTCCAGGGCAAGTGGGAACCAGTAATTCATATTGTGAACCAGAGACATGTGCCTGACAGAACCAAAGTTATGGATCGCCGCGTTAAAGTCTGGCGACGCATCACTGTGGCCGGGATGGAGCGGCGGCCGTGCGGCGGTCGCTGAGGTCGTGGAACAAAGGCAGCTCGCCAGGCGCTCCAGATCACCAGAAAAACCACTCATTGGTGACCGTTGCAACAACCTTATTGGTTCTCAAAAGGCGGTGACCTGTCCGCATTACGACATAGATCTCCTACAGTACCGCAAAACAAGAGCTCACGTTCTGATGACTGGCTCCGCTCCTGCGTCATTGAGGTGTTCACCGAAAATTGTACTGGCCTAGTGTTATCTGCCTGCTTACGGACGCATAACTGATAGTCTGATCTTGACCTCGAAGTGGACGCAGTCAGGCTTTTTTGTTTGCTTTTTTAATCCCTGGCTCGTCACTCTATATTTTGCTTCTTTTTTATCGAGCTGTCCGTCCTTTGAGAGATTTTGGTAAATGACAGTAGATTTAAGCCGTCTTGCCTTGTTCAAAACACCCGCTTTTCAAGATATTTACGGAGAGCCCTTTGCAGCATTCGGAGTACATTTGGATGACTGAAAACTATTTTCATGTCTGGAGTTGCCATCCAGGCTCGGACATATTTTCATGTTGAGAAAGAGCTCACAATTTGCGACCGTGAGTTGCGCATTATGATGTCCAGGTCTCGGGCATTCTTGCAGAGGAAGGTGCCCATCGTGACGTCGGGGCCCATTTCAGGCCTAGGGTGCCGTTTTAAGCCCAGAAACGCCGTTGAAGATCCCAGCGTAGGAGATGACGTGCTTGTAAAGGTGATGTTGGTGCCATGTAAACAAATGACGTTTTTTCATGATAGTGCTGATCATGAGCAAGATGCTAGACAATAGGCTGCTCTCGGCATCTGATTGGCCATAAATTATGGGCAGTAACGGAAGTGCGGCTTGGTAGCCCCGCCGCTCTAAATATTGCACTGTCTCTGACATCTATAGTCTGCCCGTTGTACACAAGTACTGTGAATGGGGCTGTGACATGGTACAAAAATTCCATCTCCTAGTCGCAGCGCAACTCCGGGCTGTGCTTCTGGCAACAATTGTTCAAATATTCACGTTAGCACGCGCCCTGGTGGCCTTATTTTGTTAAGAAAACTAACTAGACGAAATCGCAAAATAGAGGGTTGGAGCCACTGAATGTACAGGGTAGGTTGCCCCGTACGTGAGCTCACTTGTGTCAAAACCGAGATACCTGTTTGAAGCAAGCGGAAACCTAGATTCCTGTTCTAAGCAAAAGGTTGCTGGTGCCCATTTAATGTCAGTGACGTTGTTTGGCCGCTTAGGGTCATGGTGACCAAAATCGTACAAGACTGCCTTGGTTTTAGCAGTTGGATGGGCGCCAAGGGCTACTCTAGGCGGTATGTTCTTCAATGTCAAATGTTGCCCCGAGCCATTTTGAAGAATAATTATCTCTTCTGATCTCTAAGAAGACCGTGTAAGACATCTGATGCAGTCCCTGCTATCAATTCAGAATGGGCACTAGAAACTGCTCCATACAGCAAGCTTTTGGGTAGAGGAAGCTGGTTGGTTTTGACCTTAGTGTGAGCTTCACATGTGGCCTTAGGTCAGTGAATTTGTCGTAATGTGCTGCTCAAGAAACATCTCAGAGATGTATTCTTCGTCTTACATTCGTTGTCGCATCAGATAAAACGATTGTCTAGAAATTGCTTTTGCTGACAGCCATGGCCGCACTTTGTTCCGCCATAGGTCAGCGACCTTACGAGGTGCATCCATTTTTTTCTATCAGAACATCTGCCATTCGATTACCAACGTTTGGCGTGGCTATGCTGCGCCGTTCGGAAATCATTACGGAAAAATCTTCGGAAGGCTCAATTGATCCCCCACCCGGGCGCGCGTTAAAAAGCACAAATGCTTAGCTCTAGCGTGGATACACGTTATGCCCGACAGACATTACTGCTACGTATAACCTGGGAAACTCCATTCAAACCGACAAAATTATACAAAAGGTGTATGTTGCAACGGGTGAATCGCGCAAGAAGATAGCTTGAGGAAATCAATAACACATTTGTGGCAAAGCCGTTATTTTCAAGGAGGCTATTTGACTGCAAATGAGGCCAGCGTACCGATCAAAATGTCTGTTGATACCGATTGTATGTAGTCGTGGTGCTCCGAGCCATTTGTCGGTGCTTGACGCCGATCTGTGCGGTCCCCAGACGCTTACGGAGCTCTCCTCCGAGCAAGCCGAGATGGACTTCCTCATGGAGGCGATGATCATGTCCAAGTTCGTGCACCCCAACATCGTGCATTTCATCGGCGTCAGCTTCGAGAGACATCCGCGCTTCATCGTGCTGGAGCTGCTGTCCGGTGGCGACCTCAAGAGCTTTTTGCGTGAGAGCCGCCCGACACCGGTAGGTGGCGGGGCTGCGCCCGAAAAAATGTGCCGGGATCGGTGGGGGAACCGATGGCAGCCTGGTTTGTTGCATGTGTGGACTTTGCAGGTGTATAAAGCTCATTTCTTTTCAGCCGTATGTGTCTGCTGACACTTGCGGGTATGGAAACTGCCAGTCTTTTTATGTTATTGTTCCCGTTTGATACGCGCTTTGTGAGCATTTAGGCCAGCCGGTACACCAGCCGCCATTTTGCTTTCCTGCGTCCCGCGCCGCAAATGCCGCGGTCAGAGGGCTGCTGATACCGATGTCTTTTCAATATATGAGCAATGTTGACTCGATCAACATGCGCCAACATTTACTTAATGAGCTGTATGTCGAGAAACCCTCAACACACTTCAGTTTAGTACTGTTTATAAAGGATATTTAGCGTGGATGGTCTTCATCACCCCGCATTGTGGTCTGAAAATTGGTAGCATAATGGCTGAACATCATGTGGGCTGGTGTGGCGGACAATGGGTCGTCTGTGCCGACGGTTTAAATTAGCTCCCTTATCTGAACCCTGTGAACCATTCTGAGCAAGTCTGTGAGTTAATTGGAGCTCTTTGTCCCCCGTTTCCTTCGCGGATGTGCTTCTCGGTACTCCGCAAAAGAGAGAGTTGTCAACCTATATAAAATCGACTGTGGATGGGGCGAAAATAGTAACGTCGCCAAGGTTCATGTGGTGATAGCGGTGGAGGTCCAGGCTAGTTGAAAAAGCGCTGGTTGAGTATGGGGCCGTTTCTGCTCCCAGTTTCTCTGTTCTACCTTCCGACGGAGTAAGCACGGAAGCAGACAGATGTCATTTGCAAATATTGTTCGATAAGAAATGACTCATAGGAAAGCACTGAGACGAAGGGGGAATTCTGTAAACCTTTTCTCAATCAAGCGTGTCAATCGCGTGCTAACCAAACGTTTTGTGCTTCTCTTTTCAGGAACGGCCGCCCAGCTTGAAAATACAGGACCTTCTGACCTGTGCCATAGACGTAGCAAAAGGATGCGAATATCTGGAAAACAAACGGTTTATCCACCGGGACATAGCGGCACGAAACTGTTTGCTTACAACGAAAGGACCCGGGAGAGTTGTGAAGATCGCAGACTTCGGCATGTCTAGAGACATCTACCGGTAAGTTTTGTTAATTACACTTTCAGTGTGAGCGAGCAGAGGAGCTGTGCCACGCCCTGATCACGGTTGGGGACAGCTCCCGGGAGCCGAGCACATATCAGACGCTCGGTTTTCACCCTAGCGCACCAGCCGTCTGCGACATATCCCAGATCTGACAAGCGCCTCCACGCCGAACACACGGCATGCGGTCGCTCGGTTGTACGCAGATGAGCCGGCTGAGTCAAAGCCCATGCATATGCGACCTTGCCGTATATCATTAGGCTCGAGGAGCCCGATACATGCAGCCCGGTGACAGAGACCGCCTGATTTGCAAGTGTTCGACAGGTCGCGCAGTTGCGCCTGTCCGGAACTGCGCCAAGTTGTCGTGTGCCGTGGTCGGCCCATCACGTCCCATCGCCGCCGACGCCGGCGCCGGCGCGTGGCGCCGATGCAAATGCGCGCTGTGAGGCCTGTTCCCGTCGGGCGCCGTGACGGGTCGGCGGCGCCGCCTCAGACGCGTCGTGACCCACGACGGGTCGGGACACGGCCGGTCGTGACCACGCGGCGTTGTCGGCGCGCCCGCGCGCGGCGGCCGGCGGTGGGCCCCGTCCGCGCCTCGATCGGAGGTCTGTCGGGTCACGACACGTGGCGGACGCCGGCAGTGACCGGCCGCGGACATGGCGCGGTCTGGTCGGCGGCCGCGCCGCCCGGTCGGTCGTCGGACGCGGGGCTGGGCCGCCTCTCCTTCCGCGACGTCGACGCCGTCTGCGTCGCAGCGTGAAGGGGAACAGATGAGCAGGGCGGAGGGGACGGGCGGCTGGTGCTCGGACTGCGTGGCGTAACGATCGGCGGGAGGCTCGCGCTGAGTTGGCCTGAGAGTTGTCGGCGCTACAATGGGGTACTGCGTCGACTTCGTTGCTCGCTGTTGTGTGCTGGGATATAACCGAAACAGTGTCTGGGTGACCTACGCCGCTTTCGTTTTAGTAGTTTAACTGATCAATAGTTGGCCTAACCACTTAGATGGTTAGATTAAGCTTGTTGTAGCGTTCATCATTATGTATGTGACGTCTATTAGCCGCTCAAACTGATCGTTAAAGGTGTTTTGCGGAACTAACAAGCCGAGCTGATTAATTTAGACGGTCAGAAATATTTTTACGGCGTATGCAGGCACAGAGCAGATTCAGAGTAGAGCGCATGCGAGCACAGCTTGGTTCAGTCGGGAGCATGAATCATACCAGCCATGTGCTTGCTCACTCGACAGCGTTTGCCTCGTGTCACTATCGTTCGCCCCTGACCACTTCGTGGTGTCATGTCTATGGCATGCAGTTTGTGGTGCAAAGCTATCAGCGTTCAAGTCGTGACGGCGTCGGCGCAATTGCTGGCCAGTCTGGTAGACGTGCCGATCAGGTAGCGCGCGGAGGCTATCAGACGAGCCGGGCTTGTGTCAGCCGCTGTTCGCCTCGTCGTCCCGGCCAGATGCGATCAGCTGACGCGGCGCCCCCGCCAGCTTCTCGGCGCGCGGTCGGACAGACCTGGGCCGTCCTCCGGCTGGCGGCCGGGTGCCGTGCGGAAGCCGGGGCCGCCTAGAGGCGTGTTCAGGCGGGGCCAGTCCAGTGCCCCCCCCCCCCCCCCTTCCTCACCTCAGGTTTCTGGCCGGCACGCGGGAAGCTGTGGCGCTCTTGACGGCAGATGTGGCGCGGGACGCGTGTGGTGACGCCGCCCGGCTCCCCCCGCCCTCCCCCTATTGCGGCGCGCCTGGCCGCGCCCCTGCCGACGCCCCAGATGACCGCGCCGCCGCCGTCCCCAGGGCCGACTACTACCGGAAGGGCGGCCGCACCATGATCCCCGTCAAGTGGATGCCGCCCGAGGCGTTCCTGGACGGCGTTTTCACCACCAAGACAGACGTCTGGTGAGTCATGTGCTGGGCGCGAGGGCGGGGAACGAGCACCCACTCCTCTGCACGTCCTCGACGAGAGGCGGTGGGAAACACTGATCGCTGACACAACGTGTGCAGTGGTGAACAAAAAAGGTGGGTGAAAACGCATGCTTACTTGACCACCCTAAGCGCTGAACAGCTGAGAGTTCTTGCGGCGCTCGTTCGCATTCCTTAGCAGTGTCTGCGAGCTCGATGTGACAGGTGATGGATGCGGATCATTTGTTTGCATTCTACGTAAGTTTGACGAGATATGAGTGTGTTGCCGTGGTGGAGTTGAGCCATGATTGAAGTGCGGTGCACCAGAAGGTCTTTTCACTTTTTCCCTTTCAAAATATGGACATCAGTGAGCATGACGTCCCTCCCCCCCCCCCCCCCCCGATGTCTACTCCCAGCTATCAGCGGTGCCCAGACGGGTGGATGAATGAGCACCTAAACAACACCGATGGGTTGGCTGGCATCGCTTATTTGCTTACGTCGCCTTTGGGCCGTTTTAATCCACGCGACGGCAGCACCAGCATTTTCTAATATCTGGCGTAAAACGGCTGGGAGCCGTGCCTTCGTGCGAGAGCCCTCTCCTGCAGGACAAGCGTGACGCTTCCGTGCGACTCGATGTGTGTGTGTGTGTATGTGTGTGTGTGTGTGTGTGTGTGTGTGTGTGTGTGTGTGTGTGTGTGTGTGTGTGTGTGTGTGTGTGTGTGTGTGTGTGTGTGTGTGTGTGTGTGTGTGTGTGTGTGTGTGTGTGTGTGTGTGTGTGTGCGCGCGCGCGTATGCGTGTGTGTGTGTGTGTGTGTGTCCATTTTCCTGGATTGAAGGTGGCCGACTGGCGGTCGTGCCACGCCATGGGCTGGAGCGGTGGGTGGGAGCGCCGGTCGGGCGCCGGGCCGGCTCCCTGGCGGTCCGTCATGACAAGGGGTCGTGTCGCGTCGCGGTCCGTCCGCCAGTCGCCCGCCGCCGCACAGATCCGCCGTGGCGCCGCCCCCCCCCCCCCCCCCCCCCTTGGCTCCGTTTTGGTGCAATACGGCCGGCACGACGGCGTGCCCGGTCCAAGAGGGGGGGGGGGGGGAGGAGGGCGGAGGGAGAACGACACGCAGATGCGTTCGGAGAAGCTGGATGGCCGCGGCGCCGGCGCTGCGGTCGGGCCTGGTGCCGCCGTGGCGGAGCGCGCCGGCGACGTCGAGACGGCGCTGGCGCCGGTGAGGCGCGCCGCCGTAGCGCGCCGGGCAGGATTGTGGCGGCGCCGCTGGCCGAGGCCGAACACCGTCAGCATTCGCATTGTCGTCGTCCGTTTGGTCCACATCAGCTTCTGTCCGCATGGAACGCACCGCTGTGTTGGCCGTTGACGTGACCTATCCGCTCCAAGATACGTGGCTCGTGGCTCGAACGAAGCCGTTTTCGGCACGCCGGCTGAGCTGTGTCATTCCGGTCCCGGATTTCGGCGGCGACCGGGCCTTGTTGTGACCTCACGGATGTGTCAAGTACCTGTTCACAATTTGCATATTCGCACTCGTGTGAGAATTGCCGACTGTACCTCTTAAGTGCTCAAGGCCGAACACATCCGCATCTGTGTTGACCTCATGTATGCGGGGCTCGCGAACCCGGCGGCGTCGGCCACGCTGCATGTAGTGGTAATGTTATGCTGGTGTAAATTATCGCTCAGTTTGAATGTCCTGTGAGGCTCCCGTTCTCGCGATTATCGGGTCATTGTCAGTTGACGATGCTGCTGAGTGCAAGGTACTGAAGTGGTTGTAAGCAGGGTGTAGTTCCATATTAAGTTGGGGAAGCCCCTCCCCCCACACACACAAGCTAGGCTCCAACTCTCTGCCCCCCCCCCCCCCCAACTTTGAGAAAAGAAGAAGGCACCCATCCCAAGTCATTTTGCGAAACTACGCCCTTGATTGTATGTGTTGCAGAATTGTTTGCGTGACCGTGTCCCGTTGACATGCCAATGATGGCTACATATTCCGTCTGTCGTCGATAGCGCGCAAACCACGCTTGCAGTCTCGTCGACGTGAACGATGTTGTCGCCCGAACCACTGCATGACCCTTGCCATCGACCACCTGCCTGGTAGCCATTTTGCTAATGCACCTAAAGACGTCACCATCCTGGGCATGTACTCTCCGCCAGACATAGGGCAGCACCTTTTATGCATGCCGGATCTCTGATCAGCGTTCAGACAGAGGAGATCGGCTGGCTTCGCCGAATTGAAGCCGGGGCCGTCAGTAAGTGGTATTCAGGCTGAACCCCCATGACCCCTCCGTGAGGCGCCGCGAGCTCACATCCGCCTGCATTCCGCCAGATGGTGACGGCTGCTGTTGAACGAGGGCTCCCTTCGTTTGTGCACGATGGGCTTGGGGCGGGTGCATGCGTACTCCTGCATCGAGGTTTTCATTGTATTTGCGTTTGAAATTGCTCACCACTTTTCCAAGGTCGTAAATAGCTACACGTCATGTAATTAAAGGAAGGGCGTGGGAAATTGCAATGGTGCCACTCAGGGCTATGCTCAGAACCAGGCATGCAGAAAAGCGTCATGCTTTGAACAAAATGGATGCATTGGTGATTGGTGCTATAGGGTGCGTCGGCTGCTGGAGAATTTTGCACACATTTCGCTCGTCAACTTAAGCTCAGGACTTTGAATACCCCGCTCGTGTAGGGGCTTCAGGTGACAGATGATCGTTAAGACCCCGTTTCAAAATGTGAATGCGACCTTGTTTCGAACGGCGAATACAAAATTGAAGGTGTTGCAGCACCAAAGCTGATGATGCAAGTACCAGAGCTGTTAATTGCGCGAGGCTGCTGCCGGCCGAGTCGTCGCGTGTAGTGCCAGTAGCCTGGCGTTTCGGGTGGCGCAGCTACGTCATATGGCTGACGCGGGATCATCATGTGTGAGCTGGCTGTATTAGTTATGATATATTATTTATTATTATTATCTTTTTATAATTGTAGTACTTATTATTATTGTACTGTTGTGATATTTCATTTATTATCTATATCTAATAGTTTTTATTGCTATGTGTTACTATGAGTGACAACAAATGGGACATTTTTCATCAGTCAGCATTTGTAAACCCTTGCTCACGTCAGAGATGCGATCTCGTTTTCATCGTTCGCGCACCACCCGGACTCAATGGCTGGTCAGTATGCACGAGTCAGCGACTCGATGCGGCCGCGCGGGACCGTGCACGCCGCGTGCGGGTATGCAGTGATGAATCACATGTGTGGAGAGCGCACTACTGTCGCCGTTGTGTCGCGGGCAGAGCACAGTCTCACGTGGAACAGGCCAGCGGCGTGGCCGCGGGTTCGTGAATGGGATCAGCAGTTGCTGCTCTAATGCGAGGTTTGTTTGCACGGCGTTCAGGATTCTTAACTGTTGCACTTTCATCAACGACCGAGTCGCCAGATTTTGTTGGCCGGCTGTAAGCCTCGCAGCATACTTTTGGTGTCGAAGATGACGAGTGGACAGTGCTACGCTGACTTCATATGCTAGTGGTCTGCTTTGGATAATGTGTCTCACCCTATTTTGAAGTCTGCTTTAGGTAGTTTTTGTTGCTGGCAACTGAGAGTTTGGAGTCGTCTGCGAATTTAGTTGTTTGTCCACGTGCGTGCGGTGCTTGATCTGGTCATGTATTTCCCTCCGCGTACGGAAGCGGCTGCAAGGACGTGCTGCGCATGCCCCCCTTAAGAGCATTCTGTGCGAAGTCGTGTCAATGCCGTAGAGTTCTTACTCCGGGACCAGAAACTCTTTATTCGCCGCATCAAAACATTTCGGCAAGTCAATGGACACCAGTTTTCTTTTGTTTCTCCTCAGTTTCTTCTTTCAGCGCACTTCTTTCCTGTTCATCACGCCAAATATCTTGTCGGTTGCTATCTTGAGTGCAGTTCCGGCGGTGAACTTTTGCTTTAGCCGTTCTGGTCGTGAGAAAACGAATGATAAGCTGCAAAGTATTCGCTGGGCCGTTGGAGAACAATGCGCTCCATGACTGGCGGTCGCTGGGACACTGATCTTGGTCGCACTAAAGTTCACCCACTCAGATCACTGGTTTTGGCCAGTGCAGCGATAACGTCAGGTGTTTCCGGTCAATCGGAATACCCGCTGAGACCGGGCTAGTGTTGACCAGGGTCAAGGGCTAGTGCTAGTTTTGACCGGACTAGCATAAGTGTTGACCGGGCTAGTGCTGGTGTTGACCGGGCTAGCGCTAGTGTTGACCGGGCTAGTTTAAGTGTGGACCGGGCTAGTGCTAGTGTTGACCAGGCTAGTTTAAGTGTTGACCTGGCTAGTATAAGTGTTCACCGGGCTACTACAAATGTTGACCGGGCTAGTGCTAGTGTTGACCGGGCTAGTGCTAGTGTTGACCGGGCTAGTGCTAGTGTTGACCGGGCTAGTTTAAGTGTTGACCTGGCTAGTATAAGTGTTCACCGGGCTACTACAAATGTTGACCGGGCTAGTGCTAGTGTTGACCGGGCTAGTGCTAGTGTTGACCGGGCTAGTGCTAGTGTTGACCGGGCTAGTTTAAGTGTTGGCCGGGCTAGTATAAGTGTTGGCCGAGCTAGTATAAGTGTTGAGCGGGCTAATGCTAGTGTTGAGCGGGCTAGTATAAGTGTTGACCGGGCTAGTGCTAGTGTTGACCGGGCTAGTATAAGCGTTGACCGGGCTAGTGCTAGTGTTGACTGGGCTAGTATAAGTGTTGACCGGGCTAGTGCTAGTGTTTACCGGGCTAGTTTAAGTGTTGACCGGGCTAGTGCTAGTGTTGACTGGGCTAGTTTAAGTGTTGACCGGGCTAGTATAAGTGTTGACCGGGGCTGGTAAAGACCGGGCTAGTGTTGAGGACTCTAGGAATGACGTTTCTAATAACCCCGGACAACCTCCATGCCGAAATCAGACGCAACTAATTTTAAGGAAGAATTGGCATTCCCGGTTAGCCCAGTTGGTGGAGCGCTGGACTCTTATTTGGAAGGCCTGGGTTCAAATCCGAAC